CTGCATCTTCAGCAAACAACAACATCTCGACTTTGAAGACATATCTTCTGTCCACTTTGGCCAGCATGCTCACTCCATCCATGCTAGCTTTACTGGTCTTGCCACTCGCACCATCATTCGATTGCACACGACTGTTGGCGTAGTTGTTAGTCGAGCCCCTTTGCCATGACACTACGGCGATGACGACGCGTACTGCTTTCCGCTGCTGCCACGACTACCATGTCCTCTCTAAGTACTAAAACATACCAGCTACTACCAATCAAAGAACCCTTCAGCACTGGCAAGAAGCGAGAATAGTTATTTGTCAACACCTGCGAAAGTAGGTTCTGGACCCAGGGTATCATCCTCGGCATAGAATGTCATTGGCTTGCCCTCTAACCCTGCAGTGTCAAAGCAACGTCCAGGATCAGCCTTGGCTTTCCCATTTCTCGAATTATGATGGTACCCTAAATCCGAAACCCCGAAACCCTAAACCCTGGTCAACACCTCAGCGCCGAATCCCGTCTTCAAACCCTGTGTGGCGCTTCCCTGCCTTCTCGCGCTCTTCTTCGTCCCTCTTGCGCTTCCTTGGGTTGGCAGAGACTTTTCAAGGAGGCAAACTTGTATGGTGTTTTGAACTTAAGAAGTCGAGCTCAGCTCTTCGGCAACATGAGACACCAAAACCGGCCCAATGCCCCTAAGATGAACGATTCGCGACTATCCCAAAACCCTACGCCCCAAACCCCAAACAACAAAGACTCAAACCCTAAAACCGCCATCCCAACTCTAAACCGCTCCAAGGACCCGCCACACCTAGGTAATAAAGATATGCGCAGTTACACACAGGAACACACTCCCAAAACCTAGCAACGCTCTTCCGGCTCCTCCTCTACAAAGACCGTGGAATGCCACAAAAAAAACAAGCTGCAGCCCTGTAAAGCCCCCTACAGAACCTCACTAGCACACCAAGAAAAAACAACAACGATAACAACAAAACCCTCTGCTAACCTGCAAAAAAACATCACTGGAAAATCCTGGTAACGAACCTTTCAACCCCTCAACTTACAAACGCAACCGTACGCCAGGCCCTCATGAAGCCCAATACAAACCTGTAACACCCTCCAACAAACTCTACGAAAGCTTCAAAACCCTACCTGAGAACAAAACACATACGTACGTAGATGTATATGTACTTCTCATGAACGTTTTTGTTGGTATATGGGGGTTTCCAAAAATAGGGGACCCTAATATAGTACCCTAAATAGTAGGATGCTTATAATAAGGACCCCCAAATAAGGTACCCCCAATTTTGGGAAACTCCCATATCCTTCTTTCCGAGGCTCCGAAGCCGCTCCTTCTCGTCCCGCTCGGCCTGCCGGTCGCGAACCGACGTGACCTCGGAGGCTGTTGCAGTGGGTTTAGGGTGTAGGGTTTAG